AGATAGAGAGAAAGAGAGAGAGAGAGAGAGAGAGAGAGAGAGAGAGAGAGAGAGAGAGAGAGAGAGAGAGAAGGGAGGGTAACATTGTCTATGTTAGACAAGTTTTAAAACTATTCATTGTCATGCAGTGTCATTGTGCCTCTCATCGCCATTCTGACACGAAGCTTCCCCTGGCTTTGTATTTAAAGGTATTTGAAAAGGTGAAAACTACGATTGTTAGTTTTGATGAATGAACTTGTCGGTGTTATTCCGAGATGAAGCTTCAACACGTCGGTTAGTTTTCAAAACACAAGAGTCATTACTTAAGTAATACAATATACTGTCGAAATTGTCCAAGACGGTCACCCATTGTCGAGGTGAAAATATGTTGCCTTAGACAGGTGCGCGTCCTGGACTATGTCTTTATAGTGTAGAAAACACACAAAGGAAGAAGTGTGGCGTGGTCATTTTTACAAATGAATGTCTTAGACAGGTGGCCCCTAGAGCAGATTTGACTGTATTAGATACTTTAGAGACAATACTTTATTGTCCAATGGCTTATTCCAGCTTTGGTTACATGACAGTACAGGTATTTAGGTCCAACGTCTGTGGTGTAGCAGTTAAGTCATTCTGTATCACACGCAGGATATCTGAGTTCGATTACTGAGAGGGTACAATTTTCATCGAGTAACTCGGTCTTTCTGCTGGGATACTGTATCCCTCTCAGCCTCTGTAGGCCCTGACAGGCAGGGTCGAAGCCCGCCTCGTAAATGATATAAACTTTGTCGATGGAGGTGCAAAGATACCTACATTTAAAAACAGATAATAATATTTAGGTGAATACCAATCCCCGTAGCTTGATGTCCAATGTAGCGGAGACTTTAATCCTCTTTACCTTCCAGTGGTCAGTGCCACAGTGGACAGCCAAGTTAATGGTGGCAGTGTAGGCTTGCCGAACCTGTCTGACGCAACGCTAACCACAATGGATGCGGGCAGCAGTCAAGGTTCGAACTCTGTTGGTCTGCCAAACCTTCAGCTGCCAGGGGATCTCTCCATCGTAAACACATCAGGCCAACAGGGGACAGTGTCTGGCACTGGTGGGGACAGCCACACTGGGGTCAGGTCTGTCACCGACACAGGCTTCTACAGTGGAAGTGACCTATCCGCTTCGGCATTAGGCGGGGGAGTTGTGTCCAAGACAGGCGCCACACTCGACACTCCCACGGAGGCTTCCAGCTTTTCTAGTGGCTCTGGAAGCAAAGGTAATTTGTTATGTGGTGAAACCTTAACCTAACCAGCATTAACTTGGTTCTCTTTGTACCACACAATAGAAGCGGGTATCATTTTCTACAAATCTGGGTCTGTGTTGTCGAGGTTCACAGGTACTTCGCTGTCGAATGCAGGAGACCCCAGTTCGATTCCCTAGGGGAGATAATTTTTTTCGGTCTTTCTGCTGGCATTTCTCTCTTAGCCCAGGTTGGCCCCAACAGGCATAGTCAGAAGCACACTTCTTAATAATCTAAATTGTGTCGATGAGGTCGTAAAACACCTACATTAAAAAGCATGCCACATCAAGGAAAATAAGTTATCAGAAACAGTAAAGTTGTGTCAGCATGGCTGCCGAGGCGGGG